CAAGTGAAAAACCCATGATTACCTTAACCTTAGGGATTTTTGGAGCTTTGGAATCGTTTTGGAAAAAACTGAATAAGTGTACGGGTGTGTTTTCATTGGATGATATATTGGCTAGTTGGTTCCTTAATATACAATTTATGCAATTTAATTTAAAAAAAAACGTGAAAATCAAAAAGAAGTTCAAAAGAAAGAAAAGTATTATTGAGGAAAAGGAAATTGAAAGGATTGGTATTAGAGGTCTTTGAGCATGCTCTGATGTTTATTTTTGACTTATTCCCCATTGCTCCTCTAATTCCTAATGTTCTTAGCTATGTCTCATATGATATCCTCCACCTTGTCCTTGGCCCCATTACAACCTTGGAAAGACCTTTTGATCCTTTTGTGCATGTGTTTTTGGTTGTTGATTTTAGAGGTTTGCCAAGTCTATGTGGTGCTTATTTTTCATGAGTGCTTTGAGAGTAAATAGTAGCCTAAACACTTGAGTGATACAGTGCATATCTTGTGAGGTTTTGTTGCTTTTCATTCACCTCTTGAGCATATTGATTTTCTTGACATGTTTTGAATTGTTTGAACGATGTCCATAGATGTTTTGTTTCTTTGACTCTTTGAATGTTAGAGGTTGTCTATTCCTTTTGTTTCCCAGGTTTCATTGAGGAGTATGTATATCTGTTTACATTTTTGTTTGTCTTTGTTTTTGTTTCTGTCCTTTGCATGATTTTCTTTAACGTTTTTGAATTTATTTCCTTGCTTTGCTTCTTGATTTTGCCCAGGAGTGCAAAAGACTAAGTGTGGGGTTCTTTGATGAGTCATTATATTCTCATATTTTCTTCCCTTTCTAAACATATTTTAATTAGTGTTTTGGGCTTAACTTTCTATTATTAGTGAATTTTTATTAATTGGGCCAATAATTCATATTTTAATTAATTTAAATCTATTTGATCTAATTTTTGCTCATTATTATTTTCAGGACAGTTTTAAGCAATTTTGGGCTTATAAAATTGGACCAATTGTCATATTTTATTCTATATAGGTACTAACATTAGTTTACTATTTTCTTTATTATTTTTTCTATAAAGCTCCAAAAATCATGATTCTGGAAGAATTATAAACTAGACACATTCAACTTTCTAGAGGATCCAGAATCATTCAATTCGAAGCTAAATTGGATTATACATAAATTAACCAAAATGGGTCAAGTGCACCAAGTCGGCCCAATGGACATGCTTCAATAATTTAAGTCTCATAAATTCATTAGACCTCCAAAAATAGTAGAAACGATGGCGTGTTAAGCTAACTCAAAAGGATTTCAAAGGAGACTAGAACCACTTAATTTGGATAAGTATTGAAAATATTGCACGTGTTTGAATTTCACGGATCTGCACTAAAGCCAACTTATGATGTGTTGTGTGGACTAGTTGGGCCCAAACCTAGATTAATATTAGGGTTAGGGTTATTTATATAAGCAAGATGTAGGGCTGAGAGGGGACGACACCACGTAGCAGCCACGTAGCCGTCTTTCATCTTCTATTTGTATTCAAGTTTGTTTACTCCTCTGTCATTATTTTAAATTCTTGTTTCAATTTTAATTATGTCTTTTTTTTTGCATTTTCGATTTTCCATGGATAGCTATATCTTTTTATTGATTTTATGAGGAGAATGCAAGTAGATCTTTGAGGTTTTTTTCTTCAATTTCTTTTCATTTGTTCTTTTAACTCTTCATCTTCTAATCTTAGTGTTGAATTATAATCTGTTTATGCTTCATCAACTGAAACTAATATCACAGTTTGCTTAATGTTGTGTTAGAGATGAAATTATGTGATGTATGCAATGCTTAATTGTATAAGGATAATTTGGGGTTAATCTTTGCTTAGTTGGTTAATTTCATGTTGAAATAAGGGTTAAGGAAAATTTGGGATTAATCTTCGGTTAGTTGGTTAATTTCATATTGGAATAAGGGTTAAAGCTAATTTGGGATTAATCTTTGCTTAGTTGATTAATTTTGGATTGGAATATAATTTGGGATTTATCTTCGCTTAGTTGGTTAATTTCAAATTAATTTTGTAACCTAGGATAAGTGACACTGCATTCGAATCAAGAAATCAATTGCTTTCTGATTGTTTTATTCAAATTCTATTTTCTTTAATTTACTGTTTATTATTATTATGCAAAACCCCTTTTTTCTGTTGTTTAATTTGCATACTTGTATAAGAACATTGGTTTGATCTGTAGTTCGTTAGGAGACGACCTAGGGAAGCTTCCTAGTACTATATTTATCTGTTTTAATTATTTGTCTGAGTACGACATCGATCAAGCACCTCATAATGGAATGCCCAAATAAAGAAAAAAATTAGTGAAAGAAAATCCTATAAAACAAAAAAACAAGAAAGCCTACATAGTTTGGCAGGACAATGATGATTCGTCCTTAACCACTTATTCAAAAAGGATGAAAAAGTTAATTTTTGTTTAATGGCTGGTTATTAATCTTCCTCTAGCAGTCTAAGTTCATATTCCTCTAAAAATGAAAAGAGGTATAGTTAATTATTGAATGCCTTTAATGAAAGGCTTGTTGAAGCAAACAAACTAACTATCTATAATAATCGATTAAAATGATTGAATAGTTGGCTTGAAAATCCTGTTAAAGTTTTGAAGGATGAATTACTAAATTCCAAAACAGATATGGAGAGCCTTGAAATTGTCTACAGTAGTTCTACTTGTGATTGCTCTAAAATGGTTTCCCAAAAGGAATGTGGAAACTATGTTGTATTATAGAAGAAGATTCACTACATGATCAAAACCTTATCCAAATTTTCCAGAGGTAAGACAAATCTAAATGCTTTGTTATGCTCACAAAAATTTGTGTTAGATAGAGTACGTATTAGGTACAAACCCACTTTTAAGAACAAAACTAAAGGATTCAGAAACTTCTTTTCAAATAGTAAATCTGATACATCTCCCTTCAAAACATGATTTTACTACATGAAAAAGAGTCACTTTGTGAGGCACTATCATATTTGTAAGTTTGATGTTCCAAATGGCAAACTTAAATGGATTCCAAAGCACAAGAAAAGGAAAAATTGATGTTGTTAGACCCAAGAATAAATGAGAGTACCAAAATTGTGTTTCTAATTTGTTTTGTAGACACAATTAAAAGAAGAGTTTTGGTACTTAGACAATGGGTGCTTTAGACATATGATTAAAGACATCAACAAGTTCTTGAATATGAAATTCAAACATGGGGGCATGTGACTTACAAAGATAATAACAAAGGAATGATCCTTAGTCGTGGTGATATAGGAGATGGGAATTTTGTGGTTATACACAAGGTCTTGTTTAAACTGAATAATTGTCTAATATGTGAACTTAGGCCTAAAATGATGATTCTAGTTTGTAAGCACATCAATGACATTTAGATGTTTGATATTATGCATGCATCATGTCTTTTATCCAAAGAATACGATTCCTAGCTTTGACATAGAAGAATAACACACATTCATATGCAGCATTTGAACAAGTTGTTGTCAAAGAAATTAGTTGATGGTTTGCCTAAGCTTAAGTTGAATAAGGATAAAATATGCAGTGCATGTCTAAAGGGTAAGCAGGTTAAAACATATTTTCAATAGAAAAATATAGTCTCCATTCACCACAAGAAATTTTATAATTAGCTAGGAAAATTAGCTACAAATTTATTTTTCACTAATTTGCAGTTAATTAGCTATGGAATAGTGAAAGAATAAGGCTGTAGCTAATCTGTAGTAAAATAGCTAGAAGACTAATATTTTTGTAGCTATTCTCTTACTTAGTAAAAAAATAATTTAGTTAGGAAAATTTTTGTCACTAATCCCTCGCTATAAATATTAGCTATATTACTTTTTGAAGCTATTTCCTAGCTAAATTGTGTAACATATAATTATAGTTAAACTGTAGCAAATTTATAGCAACTATCAAATTGAAAAAAATATTAAATTATTGGGAACCATTCTTATAAATTATTTTAGTTTTATAAAAAATTATTTATAAAAAATACTTGTAAATTTCTCTAAAAATATATAATTATAAAAAATAATTTTTGATCTTTTTGAAAAAAAATATCAATAAAAATTAATTACAATTTTTTCTTAAAAAAATTGTTTTTACCAAATTTACTATAAATATATAATTTTATATATATATAAAATATTTTTTTATCTAAAATAAATTATTTAGAAATAATTATAATTTTTTTGAAAAAATATCTAAAAAAATTGATAAATATTTAAAATTATTTTTTGTAAGTTTTTTATAAATTTAAATTTGTTAGAAATATTTAAATTAATAGAAAAATGTTATAAATATATATTTTTATAATTTTTTTAGAAACTATTCTTTATAAGAAATAAAAAAATTTATATTCAAAAATACTAATTTTTTTTATAATTCTTTTAATAAAAATCTAAATTAATTTTTTCTCGTCTTCTTCGTACTTGATTTTCTCAAACCTAACGCCTCTCTCCGTCCGGTGCCGCTCCTTGCTGCCGCTCGCTGCCGCCGCTCCTGCCGCTCCCCGCCTCTGCTACTCGCTGCCCCCATCCTGCTGCTGCCGCTGCCGCTCTCGCTCTCGCGCCGCTCCCCTGCTGCTCTTGCTCCCGTTCCCGCGCTGTCCTGCGCCGCATCCGCTGCTGTCCTGCGCCGCGTCCGCTGTTGTCCTGCACCGCTTCCGCACATGCTGCCGCTCACGTTTTCTCACCGTAATCTCTTTTTCATTTTGAATATTACCTGTGATTTGAGTTTTGGGAGGTTTGATTTTATTCAATATGTGTTTAAGTTTCATCCATAGTTAATTGTCTATCGCCTAATAGTTTTAAGTTTGTTGTGTATTATTTTTAGAGTGAACTCTGTTCTGTTGAGTAAGTAGCACGACCAAACAAAAGAAAATGTTATAAACGTAAAAAACAATGGTTAATTTTTGTGTGTTATGGATGTAGTTTTATATACCAGAGCGCAATTTGACAACCTGGGATACTATGATAACACAACTTGCTAAGAATGGGTTTGCAGAAGATTTAATTGATCTCTTTACTCAATTTAAAAGCTTGGGACTTAAACCTGATGGGCAGATGTTCATTGGAGTTCTATCTGCATGTAGTGTGCTGGGAGATATCGATGAGGGAATGCTGCACTTTGAATCCATGAGCAGGGATTATGGCATTATACCATCAATGGCTCATTTTGTCAGTGTAGTAGACATGATCGGCAACATTGGGCATCTGGATGAAGCCTTTGAGTTCATTGAAAAAATGCCAATGGAGCCAAGTCCTAATATATGGGAGACTTTGATGAATCTGTGTAGAGTTCATGGGAACATTGGGTTGGGGGATCGCTGTGCCGAGCTAGTTGAGCAGCTAGATTCATCTCGTTTAAGTGATCAGTCAAAGGCTGGCCTTGTACCTGCAAAAGCCTCCGACTTGACAAAAGAGAAAGAAAAGAAGTTAGCAAGAAAAAGTCTGCTTGAAGTAAGGAGTCGTGTCCATGAATATCGAGCAGGAGATACATCTCATCCTGAAAATGATAAGATATATGCCTTGCTTAGAGGTCTAAAGTCACAAATGAAAGAAGCTGGCTATATTCCTGAAACAAAATTTGTGTTACATGACATAGACCAGGAAGGCAAAGAAGAAGCTCTTCTTGCTCACAGTGACAGACTTGTTGTTGCTTATGGTCTCCTCAGCAGCTCTGCTCGCTCTCCAATCAGGGTTATTAAGAACCTCCGTGTTTGTGGTGATTGCCACACAACATTGAAGATTATTTCTAAGCTTGTAGGGAGAGAACTCATTATTCGAGATGCAAAAAGGTTCCACCATTTTAAAGATGGGCTATGCTCCTGCCAGGATTATTGGTGAACGTGAACTTAAGGTACTGCTTTCCTCTTGTTAATGTTTATCCTTTGTTATTTGATTGGTTGCTAAGAATTATATAGGAACTGCAATGACTGCAAATTGGTAAGCAAATTTTTTTGCTGCATGGGTACTTTTCAGCTTACATGAAATGTATCCACTCTCTGCTATTACACCCCATATGTTTTGTTCAATATATTGTGTGCCAATTTCTGGAGTATGTACTGTGTCCAACTATGGTATGAAATTTTCCACTAAAACCCTAGCCTGGATGTACTTAATTGCAACTATACCTTTTCTAAGCTGACTACATTTAACTCTGAATGATTTGGTAAAACGTTAGAGTCAAGACTGGTACACTCTAATCGATGCTGTTAATATATCCTTATTCTAACATTGCTTTTTAAAATATATCAAAATGGGAGTTTAATTTTCACTTCCGGGAGTTGCAATTGCAATTCATATTTGGGTTTACAATAAAAATGTACCTGAGGCCATGTTAATTAACTTGAACAAATATAAATATTGTTCAACCATGTTTTTTTACTTTTAAGTTTTTTAAACCATTTTTCTTCTTTTATTGTTTTTGTCAACCCTACTATGAAGCAAAATTAGGGAAAGCCTCACAAGTATTTTGTTTTACAGGTGTATCCTGGCTACCAAATGGATTGAATAGCATGGATGTTGCTAAACCCTCAAGACTACTCATAGGGAAATTGTTCATATATCTCATGGTCGTTAAATTAAAAACGATCATTATATCCATGGGGAGATTGGAATTTTGTTTAACCAGGCTCTTCCATACCAATAATTAATCAAACAGTGGGAGGTGTATTCAGGTTGAAGAGGCATTATTCAGGTTGCAGATGCCATGATGCACACAGGAGGATCAAGAAGCTTTGGACAACACTTGAAAAAAATGATATTCATACTTTATACATTTAATACATTGATCATATAATTGTTAATTAATATTGATTACTAGTTATAAATTGAATATTAGGTTTGATATTGGTATATTGATGTCTAAATCTTGAATTGTAAATTATTTCACAGGAAGAAGAGCACAAATGAAGACACAAGCAAAAATGCAAACACTCATGCAACAACAAATGCAAGAAGAAATGCAGTCTTTCAAGAAATATTTATTATCTGTCTTAAAGAAACAATGATGAAAACGTACTTTAAACTTTGTTTCTATTTTTAATTGTGTTATACAGAACTTTTTAGTTGAAATATTATTTTTGTTATGTTTTAATTGTTAGAAACATCATTTTAACTATGTTTAAACAATACTTTTATATTGAAAGTTGATAAGTTTGTCTTCTTTTTTAAGAATGAGTAATAATTTAAATCTTAAATATTTGATATTATAAATTTTGATAAAAATTATGAGGTATTAGCTATGAAATAGCGAGAAAAACATTGCAAAGGATTAGCTACGGATTAGCGAGAGAAAAATTGCGAGGGATTAGCTACGAATTAGCGAGAGAAAAATTGCGAGGGGTTAGCTACGAATTAGTGAGAGAAAAATTGCGAGGGAATAACTACGGATTAGAAAGAGAAAAATTGCGAGGGATTAACTACAAATTAGCGAGAGTGAAATTGCGAGAGATTAGCTACGGATTAGCGAGAGTGAAATTGTGAGAGATTAGCTACGGATTAGCTACAAGTTTTGGGAGATCAAATTAGCTAGGGATAAACAAAATTTCATCATTTAAATTAGCGAGAGATTTAGCGACAATTTAGCGACAAAATTTGCTACAAGTTTGAGAGAGAATACATTTGTATCTAATTAGCTACTTAGATTTAACTACGGACTATTCCATAGCTATTCCGTAGCTAATCTGTAGCAAAATATACCAGCGAGAGATTAACTATAAAATAGCTACGGAATGTGTCATAGCTAATATGTAAAATTCTTGTAGTGATTGCTAAAACTCTTGAACTACTACATATGGATCTTTTTGGTCCCTCTGGAACCATGAGCCTAAGAGGTAACTACTATACATTGGTAATTTTGGTGATTTTTATAAATTCACTTTTAATCTCTTCTTAGTGTTTAAAAATGAGAAAGGTCATTACATCATTTTAATAAAAAATTATCATGGAGGAGAATATGATATGAAAAATTCAACTATTTTTGTGAAAAACATGGTATCAAACATAATTTTTCTACTCCTATAACTCCACATCAGATTGGAGTGGTTGAAAAAAGAATAGATCATTGGAAAAGCTTGCTTGAACCATGCTTAATAGAATTCTCTTCCTAAATACCTTTAGGTAGATGTAGTTAACATTGCCTATTATGTTCTTAACATGGTTTTAATAAGAAAGGTTCTAAAGAAAACACCATATGAGTTTTTATAAAGGAAGAAAACCAAACATTGATTCGGTTAGAGTTTTTGGATGTAAATGCTTTCTTTTGAATATTGATAAGGAAAATCTTGGCAAGTTTGATGGCAAAGTTAATGAAGATATCTTTTTAGGCTACTCTTTGCATACTCATGCATATAGGGTCTCTAATAGAAAATTAATGACTATTAAAGAATATGTACATGTGTTATTTGATGAGTTTATGCAAGATGTGAATATTTCCTCTAAGAATTATGCAAGTGATGATGTGCCACTTGAATCATTCAACGAGCTAAAATTGGGCAAAATTGTTGCATAAGACATTAGTCATAAACTTGTTATTGAACTAGTGCAAGAATTGCCCAAGGAATGGAGAATTACTAGAGATCTTTCCCTGGACAACATAATTAGACAAATTAAAAAATGAGTTTCCATTCATCATTCCTTAAATAACTTTTGTAATCATATGACATTTGTATCTCAGATTGAACCAAAAATTGTTTTAATGCTTTAAAAAATGATCATTGGATTTTTGTCATGCATGATGAACTAAATTAGTTTGTAAGAAATGATGTATGTGTGTTGGTGCCAAAATCTGCTGACATGAATGTGATTGAACAAAATGGGTGTTTCAAAATAAAATAGATGAATATGGTATAATCATAAGGAATAAAGTAAGGTTAGTTGCTAGGGGATATAATTAGGAAGAAGGAATAAATTTTGATGAAACATATGCACTTGTTGCTATATTATAGGTTATGGGACTTTTACTTGCATATTCCTACATGAGTGGTTTCAAGTTATTTCAGATGAATGTCAAAAGTTCATTTCTAAATGGTTTCGTCAATGAGGAGGTGTGTGTCTCTTGACCTCTTGGTTTTGATTACAACAAGTATCTAGAGCACATCTAGGAACTCAACAAAGCTTTCTAGGCCTTGAAACAAGCACCTCGTTAATGATATGAAAGACTAAGTATTTTTTTATCTCTCAAAAATACCAAAGAGGTGAAGTAGATAACACTTTGTTTATTAAAAGATACAAAAACAATATCATATAGATGATATTATCTTTGGTGCAACTAATGACTTTCTCTGTGAAGAGTTTGTGAAAGCAATGTAGGGTGTTGAATTATTGGCAAGCGTACCAAAATTCTCAATCGCAGTATAGTATTTCGATTAAATAAAAGTCGATCCCACAAGGAACGGTTTCAATGGAAATTCCCAATTATATGCTTACTAAGTGGATTAAAACAGAATGAGTTTTACTTAAAGAGTCGAATTGAAAGTAAATGACAAAGAAATGTAAATTGTTTAGAAAATATCAATTAAAGGCACTTATAATTGACTTCCTTCCTTTTCCCTCTTTTGTAATGGTTATGTTCAATTAAGATCATCAATTAACCTAACAATGTTGATGCCACTTACTCAAATCATCCATGTTGATTTCTCACACATAAAATTCATAAGAAAACCTAATAAATGTTGATTTCACACATAATTAAGAGATTTTCCAGCATTAGGTTTAACTTGTTAAGTAATTGATACATTCATTCCATTCCTAGCAATTAACGTAACAAATATTCTTACCATGATCTAGGGTTCAAGATATATTTTTCAATCATACCCCAAACATCAAGAATAAATCATTCCAAGGCACAAAAGATAAGAATAAAAACATCAAAACATAGATTAATATCTCAAAATATTACCAAGATACAAAAGAGTTCAAAGGAAGTGCACCCAATCCCAAGAGAATGAAGTTAGCCACTCATGGTGGCCATTACAATGCTCCAAATGAGGAAGAAGTGAAGAATTGATGAAGATTGGACGAAACCCTAGCAGTAGTTGCGCCTCTTCTCCCAAAGACTCCACACTTTTCTCAAAACACATCTTATTTTTTTATAGGAGAATTTGGGTCGTCTTTCGCTCAAGCAAAAATGTTTGCTCAAGTGAAAGTTCAATATTTTCAATCAAGTGAAATTGTGTTCGCTTGAGCAAGTGAGTTCTAGAGAAGTTTAACTAATTTTTGCTCATGCAAGAATAATGGCGCTATAGTGAATGACTTCCAAAGAGTTTTAACTAATTTCCGCTCAAGCGAGAGTCTATCTTGCTCGAGCGACTTTCATGTTGAAAATATTCCTCCTCCTTTCAGTTTTTGCTTCAATTATGTTGACAATTATGCTCCTTGCTCATGTATCAAAGTATTCTCGAATTTATCCTACTTTGGGAGAAAAATAAATTAGAATTGACATAAGTTAAGTGATTTCATAACAATTAAAAACATAATTATATCAACTTTTTACTACTTAACAACTCCCCCCAACCTAGAATTTTGCTTGTCCCAAGCAAAGTAATTTTTCCAAAACAAAATCATCACCTATTATCACTTTCTCTTCCAAAACTACAACATAAAAATAACTTTTCTTCTAGATGCGATGCTCATAACTCCAAATGAAAATAGGATACATAAGCATTCAAGTTACAAAAACTAACAAAGGATAATTAGTCATCAATTATCCTCAGAGAAGCATAATCTCTCAAATAGAGTAATATATAATCATCTCTAACTCTCACGGGTAAGTGTTTATCTCATTTAATCACTTCATTTAGACAATCCAATATTGATAATCATCTTCAAGCGATCAACATTTG